ATGAAGAAATGGACAGAGCCATTAGGTAGAGTAGGTGTCTCTCGCCCTCCAGGTTGGGGTCCGAAAGACTCCACAAGTGGTTGATTGGAGACACTGAAGGATATGGCAGCGAACCGGAAGCAGTGGCGTTCTTGTTGTCGTTTCTTATCAGGTCAGAATGCTTGAAACGGTATGTATACAGAGTTCGATTGCATACTATGTGTGTTGACCATAGTGGCTCATCTTCTCCCTTGCTCAAAATAGATCCAACCCTTGTCCACCTTAAGTTTTACCACTAACCTTGCATGCATTGTGAGTCTGTCGGCGGTCAGTGAAGTTCGCTTCACGGTATTTCGCTGTACGATGATGATGATGAGATAGACATGCGTAATTCGTTCAACTGGAGCAGATTTTTTTTGTCTAACAGGGCAGATTTCTCTAAATTTAAGTGAACCGTTGTCGCCGTTCTAATAGCGCAATGCTTCACTTTGTTCACTTTTTTCAACACTCATCCGCCGATTTTGGTTGCTGTCTCATGACCATCCATTTGAGCGCAATACAAAGATTAGGGTATTCGAATCAGTATCAGAGTGAAAGTTGAGAATCCATGAAGATAAAGGAATCAAAGAACTTGAGAAGACACGAGCGCCACCATGGATGGAACAACCGTATCACTTCTTGTCTCTAACCACTGATTACGATCGTTCCGAGATCGTCCATCATCATCCTAATCCTTAATACATTGAAGCGAACTTCACTGATCGCTGCCAAAGATCCCCATCCAGGGAGCCTAATGCACTTTACATAAGCGAGTTTCCTGGTCTTTGTTTTCTTTCTTCCAGGTCTTGGTTTGGCCATTTTCGACTTTTTCTACCCACTACCTGCTTCGGCAGACGTCGCGCATCCTTGCAATCTATTTGGCGACATGCGCAACAGGCATGAACCAACGTAATCTGTGGAGTTCGACTACTTCCTTCAGTATGAGACTATAGGTACCCAAAACTCGCAGCGTAACCGCATCGCCTGTTTGCCTTCCCCGCGAGGCTCGTTCACTGCTGCGTGTTCGACCGCCTATCTCAATCCCATTTTCCTATTGGCCAGGTCGCTACACCGTATAGCAGCACTAAACGAACTGTTTTTTTTTATTACACACCTGGGTGTGATGAACTGCAGACGGGGTAAACCCCATAGTCACGAGGACCTGCTGTTCAGTGGTTGAAATCGGCAACCTAAGCCCCGGAACTTGGAGTGGCGAACCACATAAGGCCCCGATAGGTAGGCGTGGTATTGAACCGGATGACAGCAGAGCTGCCTACCACCAAAGTCGGGTGGCGGTGGTGGGGCTCGGACCATAGGGTCCAAAGCACGCCGGTGACAGTGACTAAACCACTGCAGCATATACTCCACCCTTCACCTACACCGACAGTACCACATGTCTCAAGTTGGCAAATACCAATTGAACCTCATGTATACGCGCTAACACTTCATCCGTTATGATTCCATTGGGTTTGACGTGACTGTTCGAAGAGCAAAATGCGTTCATAAGCTAAATTATTTATCCACTTAGTGTGAGGCTGTAGCACTATTTTGCACTTTGAAGAGCCACAGTGTATGCCGAACAGAGCTATACTAGCACTCAAACGAAATAGTTTCATTTCCAGTTTTGCAGCTGGGTGAACAGAAAAGCTTACAACTTACCGGGCTCTTCACTTAGCAGTACAATGTCGTCTGCATACTGCAGATCAGTCTACTACCTGGCAGTAAATCGATGCTTGAGGACAAGACTTTCTAGCGTCATACCTATAATGGGGTTAAATAGGAAGAGAGAGGACAACCCTAAGAAACCCCCTTTTCTGTGGTGAACTCGGGTGACAAAGTTGCCTAAGTTCGCATTCGGTTCCGGCGACGTGGACAGAACAGTACCAGTGACTTGCGAAGACCTACCATCGGAAGGAAGCCCCAGTTACCGCGCTTATGAATCCATCAACCGGGGTAGATGGGTTACCAATAAAATGCACCTTCACGGGTTTATTTGCTGTAGTGATCTCTCCAGGGAGCCAGGTGCCTAAGCAGATGCCACTGTGAGAGCTTCGTCTGACCTCCACTCATTGACCTTTCAGGCATGATTGTGAAAAGCCGTTTTCTGTAGCTCGCAGTGTCATGGATACACGCAAACCATAATACCACGTCTAGGTGCAGTCTCGTTGTGATGGGCGTTGTACACATGTTTATGAAAAATGAATCACTTAAGCGATTGCTAGCACGTTTCACTTCCACGGATATACGGACAAATATTGTCCTATATTCACTATGATTCCACAAACGCTTTTGATCGAACGTGCATAGGTTACTGTATCAGATGCTTGAGATAGATATGAATTTCACTGCGACTTCCTAATGTCAGTTGACCAAATATTTGCTTTGTTGTCAGACCTTACTTTGCCGCGTGCTTTCGATTTATGCTTGAAAGTAAACTCAATCTCTTATGTTTCGTATTATTTTCATATAATTTATTGTCTGAATTTACTTATGATTTTAGGTGTTATCTGTAACCATCGATGATGAGACTGTGGTCAATTACATTATGACTACACTTGACAATTCCGCGCTTGCACTGCGTATTGCAGCGAGATGCAACCTACCCGGGGCAGAGGATCTGTTTATTAGAAAGTTTGAAGCGCTGTTCCAAGCTAGCCAATACAGTGAGGCTGCTAAAATAGCTGCCAACGCGCCGAAAGGAATCCTTCGTACACCGCAAACAATCCAAAGGTTTCAACAGGTAGTGTTATGCCTATTTGCACATTCATACCTGTTTTTACTCTCCACAAACCACACCGTTTTATTGTTAAAGTTCCTGAGACCGTTTATCGTAAGCTGTGAGTTGGTTTAACCATACCATCTCGGCTATTCAAGCGAGGCATCATGAGCACTCCTGCGAGATTCCAGCTTCACTAGAAGTGCAACATTGTATTCTGGCACTGAAGTTAGGCAGATCCGAACCCGATGCGCTTCCTCTCATTCTTTTCAGGATAGAGAGGAGTGGGTGTTTTATTCTGGTACGAATTGTTAATAGTCCCTTCTGTCAAGAGATGATCTCTCAATGAGTGCGGAAACCACCATGAGATAAGCATTATTCCAAGTCCCCGAAGCGTTGTTCTTTGTGTCAAGCCTTTGAGCGCGACAAATGTTCGGGTCAAACTCCAACCAGGCCATGGTCTTGCACCTCAAGTCCCGAATTACTTCACACACCACCAAACGGTCGCACGAGATTTTGACTCAATTGATCTTGAGTCTCTCCTTGGTTTCCTTTACAAACGAATGCCTATATGTATGTTGACCTATTAAGGCCACTGTAATCACATATTTCAGATCGAAGAACGATTCATGGCGAACTAAGCAGTATATTCGAATCTAGCTGTGTGATCTTTATCAAGGATGTCATTAACAGGAAAGCTGGAGAACAGCTGTGCGATTTAGATTACGCAGACGTCATCGTGTCCATTTGAACCTATAGTGGGTGCCCAAAGCATAGTTGGTCAACCGTTTTTGCCGTAAATCACGTGTGATTAGAAGCTGTTGCTCTTATCGGTATGCGTTTAGCACTTACAAAGTGCATATTGATGCTACAAAACGGATATCTTCAATAACTCCAGTGAAGCTTGGTTAGGAATTAACTAGAATGGATTGCTTCTACTCGGGCAGTTGGTTCATTAATGACATTAACATGATAAAGGAGATAAGTACATGTATTTCCAAGACTAAACTCGAAAGGTCGTGCATATTGTTTCACGGTGCAACCACTTATGGTCTGCGGTTCGAAAACTACTACATTCACCTTTTGTCATTGTTATCATTGTACAGCGTAATACAATGAAGCAAACTTCACTGCTCGCTGCCAAACTCATAATGCATACCAGATAAGCGAGGATGTGTAAGATAGGGTGGGGATTGGGGCTGTTTCTAGGGTCGGAAAATGAAAATGAACCTCTATGGTTAGCACAGAGTACACTGTCCAACTGTGCATACGTACTATTTCAAGCGTTCTGTTGACCGCGGGATCGCCACTGCTGTCTGTTTGCTGCCATGACTTTTGTATGTATTGTGAACTTGGCAGCGGTCAGTCAAGTACTCTGAGGGTGGTGATTGTGCTTGTGGACGCCTAGGTATATATGTGAATGTTAGGACAGCTCATCCTTTTTTATCGTCGGGCCCCGGAAACTTAACAGTCTGAAAGCATATGAAATGTTCGTCTTCTTCAACTCACGGGACAATGAATCCTCAATCTTCTCCAATCAAACTTGAATAACAATTCTATTCTCAACATTATTTATCATATCGATTGTGCTTTTTGCTAATCCCGTTCGTTGAATACGTTTCCAGGTTGCCACCGTTCCCGGTCAAACTTCAGCATTGCTCCAGTACTTCGGCATCTTGCTGGAACAGGGACAGCTTAATAAATTTGAAAGTCTCGAACTCTGCCGCCCCGTGTTGCATCAAGGAAGAAAGCAGTTGCTCGAGAAATGGCTTAAGGAAGAGAAACTGGAATGTTCCGAGGAGTTGGGGGATCTGGTAAAACAGGTATGCGGTTTTCTCGTGAAACTATGGTTTTTGCTTCCTTTCTACCGAATACATAATTTCAGGAAGGAGTGACTCGGTCAATCGAATTACTGTCATGTAATGCAAGAACCTAGGGAAATTGACGCGGTAGTGATAGTTTCTAACAATTTCCATAGCGATCAGCTGAGTACCTGGGTGACTGCTCAGAGATTCTCTTAAACGCGTCTAAATCATCTTTTCCACAAAAGTTTTTAATAATCACAACAAAAATTTAGTGATAGGTATTCGGTGTCCCATGCTCAGTGTTCACGTTCTAACAGGTCAACACAATATGGCATTGTAACGACGGCAGTGCACACTGGGTGTTCTTTGCCTACCTACATACCATTAGTGAATAGGGCCATATTATCCGTCCCTCTCTGGAGGTGTTTCGCAGTATTCTTGTAGTTTGGCGTACAAATAAACTTGCCGGGATTATACAGTGAATTGTGCTCCCAATTTGCTCATTTCTTTAAAATGGAAGGATTCTTTTAGGCTGCGCATTTTAAAACAACTCTTTGATATGGTCGTTGGACTGAATATGGGATCGCAACATTGTCTCCTTGGCTTATAGTTGATATTACGATGTTATTTACGAATACCCCGAACGCTAATTAGTTTCATTCAGGTGTTTTTTCGCCACTTTTTAATCACATCCTTAAGGTTCTCCAAAACCAACTGTCGCACCGAGTTACGTTTGTAAGTGATCTCCGCCCCATACAGTTCGTCTTGCTAAAAGAAAAATATTGTCTCCACAGGTTTCTTCGCGTTGTTGATAAGGCCTACTACCCTGGGCTGTTCATTGGTATTGATCATTTTTTTGCACCGATCAATCGACCGACACTAGCTGTGTAAAGCATATTCACAGGATGCAAATTCCTTGCGACTTACCATTCAGTCTCTTGATTTACTAATTAGTTTGTCGCAATAACCAGGATAGGTATATGATCCCAACCCTCGTACGCTTTACCTCCGATTGACCTCTGGCGCAAATCCACCAATCCAGTTTTCTTCATACAGATTGTTTTGCATATTGACATAGTTGACATGCTTTCACACAACCCTGATTTAGCACGAAGAGATCTTACCGTGTCTAACGTCAGTTAGATGTTTCTTTACCTTCAGTCCGTATCATGCTAATCAGCAAATATACTGGATTATGTGAGTTATTACCAGTGCAAGAGGAGTTTTTTTGTGTGAATTTTCCTTGTTCATCCTGTATTATTCGTTGATGCTCCCGGTAGACGACGTTATGTTGTAGTCCAAACATTTCGATTTATCTTGTGGCGTTTTTGTTCTCTTTGCTCATTCTCATCAGGCGGATCCTACTCTAGCCCTTTCTGTTTACCTTCGTGCCAATGTACCACCTAAAGTTGTGCAATGCTTTGCTGAAACTGGACAGTTTCAGAGGATCATCATCTATGCGAAAAAAGTTGGATATACACCGGATTACATTTTCCTGCTTCGAAACTTGACTCGCATCAATCCTGATCAGGGATTGCAGTTTGCACAGATGCTTGTTCAGGACCAAGAACCCTTGGTGGATTTAGAACAGGTTGTCAACGTATTCATGGATCAGGGTCTTGTTCAACAATGCACCTCGTTTTTGTTGGATGCACTCAAGCATAACAGACCTTCTGAGGGTCATTTACAAACCAGGCTGTTAGAAATGAATTTGCTTTCTGCGCCACAGGTAAGTATGTCTGTATACAATATGGTACCCATTTTTCTGCCCTTTTAGACCAGCGTTTTCCGTAGAATATCAGTCAAACTCGGAATGTGTGCATGTAACCACAATCTTATTGATTACGTGAAAGTGCAGTTATGTTTGTATCTCAGGGTACTTAGTGGAAGGAACTATGTAGGACCTGTTTTTAACTCACAATAAAACTTCCACTTTATCGATCTACTATTTGCTGCCGATCATAACCACTGTAACGTTTTACTCTGAATATACAGTAGATCACTCTCTACACTTGATCCAATAATTAGACTTACAGGTCAGCACATAAACAGTTTATACTTACAACCAGACAATACATGTGCAACCGGATGTCAGCAATTCGGAAATAAGTATTTCCGGTCGATGAAAGTTCTGGTTAATGTATCGATTAGACCGATACTTTTCGTTCTCTTCACGAATTCCGTATCTTCCTGATCGTCAAACAGATTACTATGAGTTTTGTGCGTGGGCATTAAAAGGACCGACCGATTTCGAAAACAAGTATCAGCCTCTAAATTTATGTAGTGAGTAGGTAAGTCAAAGTTTTGTTTGATTGAACAAAACGGTAAAAATTACACAAAACAATCGTTTAAAGGCTTTTGACAACAAAGGTGTAGTGTTGTATGAGAGTAATGAAGGGTTTAATTTAACTATATAATGAATTCGTGCTGTAAATGAAGCGTGAACTGAAATACTAGGAATCACCGGACAGCTGTTTCGGGCTGTTTGACTTTCATCCGGATCGCGAATCCGTCAACCTAACTGGAAGATTGAACTCAAGACCTCACTGGTAAATCGCAAGCACACTACCCGCTCGACCACCGGACAGCTAGTCAGACAGTTTTTCATTTTACCTTAACAAGGTGAAGCACGATCCATCAAAGGGCTTTATGGGGACATTGTGAGAAGCTCCATAGCCCCGTCGAGATTTAAACCCGTGCATGGATGCCTATTCCTTTGTGCAACGCACGCTCTACCATCTGATCTACGGGACCACACAACTAGCACTTTACACGATTAGATTACCCACTTCAAATATAAAACTTGAATCTGACAAACAGCGATTTGAACAATTAACCTTGTGTTAGAAGTTCATTCGGTGGATGGATGGAAGGATTTCGCGCATGTCTGCGTTCATTTTGTGTGCCAAACAGATCACGGTACAATAATCTATGAAAAAAGTTCCGTGATTTGCTTGTGGGTGGGATACTGCCAGG